TAGGACTTGTAAAGAAGAGTTAACCTTCGCTATGCAGTGTGGTTAGCAAGTAGTGTGGCACGATAGGAGAGTGAAAGTGCTGAAGACCTGGTGTCCACGCTGCCCATGTTCCAAGGGGTGGTTTTAGCATGCCATAGATTGAATACCCATTAGTTGTTGGAGCGTATTAGGTTCGTTCCTGGTACGCATCTTCCTGTTTAGTTTCATCTGAAAGGAATCCAGTCCCTGTGCTCTGAGAATGTTCTGTGATGTGATCTGAAGAGTGATAAGGTGGAATGACTGGGAGATTTGCTCCACAAATGTACTCCTAATCTAAACTCAAGAGGTAAAATAGGTGCAGCCTTTGCAGAGGCCAGCACAGAAAAGTCAGAATATGCAGGTGATGCACTGATTTTTACTTCTAACTTGTGCGTCTTGTCAGTCTTCTCACTGGAAGAGTAATCTAGATCTTGAAGGAACAGAAATTGCATTAAAGGAGTATGAATTATGAATATAAAATTGTAGTAGTGAAGTAGTGCTATTGAGAATGGAAATAGTAAGAAGGCAAAAGGAACACATTATTGTGCTTTAAATTAGAACACCTTCTTTTTGTCTTATGACTGTTTTACAGTTTTTTTTCTGAATGTGTTAAATTACTCCAGTATTTTACTTTGAAATAAGAATGTGTAATGTGTGTGTCAATATTGGAGCAACTAAAAATTTGTCACTTATTAGTCTCGGGAAGTATTTGTCACTTCTGGTAGGATCACTTAATGTCTGTCTTGCACTATGAAACCCCTTATATCTACTGAAATGTAGCTGATGTATGATCTGCCGTAGAAAACAGCTAAGGGATGGGACTTCAAGAAATCTCCTAGTCCATCCACCTGCATGAATGTTTACAAAGTACATTAGTATTCCGCTGGACAATCTGCTATTCAAAAATCAGCAAGTAGCACACTAGAAATACCTGAATTTATGTCTGGACTCAAGAATATGAGATGATTGTGCCTCAAGGAAGCTCAGAGGCTGAGAGTGGCTTATAGCAACTTTTTAATTTTTGTGATTCTGGGCTTTTGTGAGGGATGAGAGGCCATAGTGCAGCTTGGTCAGTGGTTCCTTGGGCTGCCTATGGAGCTGCAGCAGTGGTGAGAATCTTAGAATGCTTCATACTGCAATTCATACTCTGTTGCTTTTTGCTCTCAACTCCCTTGGAAAAGCATGTTGTGCAAGATCTTGGGAAATGGAGTTGTATGAAAAACATCCCGAAGCTCTTTTACACAGTGTCCACACTAAAGAATCTTATGTGATGCAGTTGTAGGCATTTTAAGGCCTCTTATTCTGCTGTTACCTGAAGTGTCTTACTGTGGAGTGAACTTTGGTTTTGAAACTGGGTGGCCATTTATCCTACTTTAGTGTTCTACAGTGATCAGAACAAAGATGTTCTGGGAGAAGAAATTTTTGATGAGTATGCTTAACATTAAAATTAAAGCTGAAAATGCAACAAAAATATAGAATAGGTAAAATTATATTTAAATCTGTCTTTTGAGATAGTGATTGTTCATGTACCTTTATCTCATGGTGAAATATGATTGCGCACAATCATTAGCAGAGAAAATATATGGCAAAAATGATACTTACTCTCAACCTTATTGCTTTAGGCTTTTTGCTAAAGCCACCAGGAAAAACTTGATTTCTCCTGTAAATGTTTCCAGTTCCTAAACCAGCCTTTATTTAAACTTTTTGAGTTCAAAGATGATTGATTCCTTCCCTCTCTCTCTTTCCCAGGAGGATGCAAGTATTTTAAAAGAACAGCTTCGAAAAGCTGAAGATCAGATTCAGGCTAGCAAACAAGAAGCTGTCCTAATGTCAAAAGAGTTGAGTGACGCAGTAAATGTGCGAGATAAGACGATTGCAGACCTTCATAGTGCACGTCTCGAAAACGAGAAGTTGAAAAAGCAGCTTGCTGATGCTTTAGCTGAACTTAAGAAGATCACAGCTTTGAAAAATGAGCAGGTAAATTTTTACTTTTTAGTACTGAAACTTACCTGTATTCACAAAATCTGGCTGGCTTTGCTAAAATTGGGAAATAAATATGTATTTGGATAATTATTATTAACAAATTCTCTTCTGGCAGTCAAGGTATTACCTTTAATCAAATGCATGTTAGCTGAATTGGAAGACTGGTAAGAAAGAAAGTTTCTACTGCTTCTTGTAGTAACTCCCTTGCCACCCCTCCCCCAAATTACTTTTTATGGAATAGTACTGTATTTATCAGTATTATTTTGAATCCACCCCCTTTCCCGAATTCTTATGCGTGAGCTACTAGCATAAAAATTCATGCAGATACAACAATTGATGTTTTTTTTGTAACAGTCTTTCCTAGTTGGTAGAATTTCTGATTCTGATGAGTCCTTCAAAATTTGTTGTCAGAATTGATTTACTGCAGTATTTATAAGTACAAAAATATTAACATAATGGAAATTGTCTTGGCTTTCTTTGTTTTGAATCAAAATCTACTAAGATGATATCAAGGTCAGCGTTCTGACTTCAGTGAGTTTGCACTAGATCTTCTGTCTTCTGCAAACTGTAACTGTGTCAGATTAATTTTGCAGCTAGGATTATTGTAGTGATGTACCAGTATGAAAAATAAATTGAACAATAGTTAGAATGGTGTAGTAAATATGAATAATACAACTTTGAAAAGAGCTACTATATTTTAAAATAGCCAAGAATTAGATAAGCTTTTATGAGGAGATCTGTTACTTCATGATGTATTTCAAAGATGTAAGTAGCAGATCGTCTAAATGACTGAATTACCAGGAAAGTTTCCAAATGCAACACAGTTAAGAGTATATCGTGTTGGTAAAGTTAGCTAGATTGTGCATCAGTTTTACAGCTCAGCTGAACTACTTCCAGTAGAGAGACAGTGAGTGTTCTAAAATATAGTTGTGGTCCGCCTGTGTTTGCCATGCGACTATACAGGAACACCTTCTCTAGAAGGTTTGAATTTAGACTCTTGGTATATGTCAGGCGGCCCGTAGAATCATAGTTCTCATTATCTACCTAATATCAGTGCCTGTTTATTCCCTCAGTGTCTCTTACTTCAGCGCAGACACTGATTATACCTTTGCTCTGCTCCTCTATTCCTTTGTTTCCCACAAAGAAAACACGGGCTTCCTCCACGCTTGCACAGAATACTTCAGAGCATTTTGTTTGCATTCATTTAAAAATAAAAGGCTTTTCAGGAAATAGTACTGTTCGAATGAAAGGGACACCAGCTTTGATTTTTTTTTTTTTTTTTAAAGGAAATTTCGAACACAGTGGAGCATGAATTGCGCAGAGAAGTCGAAGATCTGAAGCTTCGCCTGCAAATGGCTGCTGACCATTACAAAGAAAAATTCAAAGAATGTCAAAAACTTCAAAAACAAGTGAACAAATTTACAGAACAGGCAGTAAGTAGAATGGAGAAATTGCATGTGCTTGTTATGACCTTTCAGTAACTATTTCATTTCCTTTTTTTGCAAAGGACAATACTTCTTTTAAAAAAAAAAAAAAAAAGAGGATTAAAATATGCGCTGAGTGGTGGCTTTTCAATTTCGCGTTGTCTTCCGTAAAGCCAGATTACTTCTATGATTTTTGAGATATCTGTGAAAAGCAAGCATAGGTTTTGTAGTAATTGGTGCATGTAGGAAGCTAATGGAGTTTGGTTGAACCTACAAGAACCCCAGAAGAATAGGCAGAATTTTGAAACTAAACTGTGTAATTAGTTTCCCTTTAAAAAATAAAAAGGGGAGGGAGGGAAGGAAATGGAAGAAGATGTCTAAGGGAGGTAGGGAGAAAGCTTTCACACCCACAGCATGTTTTTATTTCTTATCTGTTTGATGTTCTGATCACTTTTTAAGCTTTGTTTCTAAATAAATGAGGCTCATGCAATGATGATGTCGGTCTTACACCACCTAGTAACTGAACCTGTTGGCAAATTTCAAACAAGTTTGAGGGTTAGAGATTCTCAAAGTTCTTCAGAAGTCTGTGAAAATTAGTAACTGAGGAGAAGAGAAAGGCTCAAATTGCAGAAATAAGGGAGTGTGAGCAAAGGCAAGATCAAGCAAGACTGTGTACAAACACAGTCCTTAGAAAAACAGACTTAAGTATTTCTGCTGTCCACAGAACAAATGGGGAAGCTACCCAGTTTTGATCCATAAATTACTTTTAAAAAGTTGTCTTATCATCCAGAAGGTCAATGGTGAATGAGGTGCCATATCATAATGTCTGTGGCTTTTCCCTAAAAATCTTCTGCATGTTGGGCTGTGTGGTACATCTGATACAAAACCAAAATTTCATTTTTTTGGTTTTATTTCAGTAGAGCTCTGTCACTCATTAGACTCCATTTGCTAATGAAATAGTAGATTTAAGTTGATAGAATGAAGTGTTCTCCAGAAAATGAGTTTTTCATAATAATTTTCATAATTTTTCATAATTTGCTTAAAAATTACTATTTCCAGTGAGAGTACTTTATAGAATGTGATTATTAAAAATCATAATCTGAGATTATTTCAATGTTGATAGAATGATAAATATACAAACCTCACTTTATTCTCTCTTCTTTTCATGAGCAGTTCTGCCTAGTCCAATTTCAGAGTAGTTAGTGCAAGAGATGTTTCTTTATGCTTTGGTTTTCATTTAATAACATATCAAAACAAAGTTTCTTTTCACAAAGAAAATTGCAGGAAATCAACAGAAACTGACAGATGCATCCAACATTCAGACAGCTACTGCCGTCATTACAGACAAAAAGTTGTCTGCATCTCCAGGTATCAACAGCTTTAATTTTGTCTATTTTATATCAACCTGAAAATGTTGTTTATGTGAAGTAATCTACAATAGTGTTTTCAGTATGAACTAGGAGGAGTTTTTCTGTTTTACCTAAAGCGAAGAACAATAATTAGAAAAATGAAGACTCATCTGAAAAGCTGTTTTTTCAAATTGATAGCATTCATAAGTATTTTCATTGTATCTCTGCAGAAAGGTTCAGTTAACATTTTTTAATGTCAGCAGGACTAAACTCTGAATTCCTGCTTGATAGTTAGTGCTGGGTTTGCTGGGTTAACAAAAGAAGTCATTAAAAAAAAGTGCTCCCTAAATCCTCAAATTTTACACAATACCATGATTTTGCAGTCATATCATAATGACTGTTCATTATAGCATTCTACTGTAAAATCAAATCTACTGAAAAGTTCCAGTTATTTGATGACAAGGCCAAGACTATGGGCGACTCCTGTGGTTTTTTTAGCGAAAATTTAGCTAGATTAACTAGATTATAATTTTTGTGAACTATTAGTCTTCCTATGAAACTAATCTTCTAAAGTGTAAATAAAATAAGTTATGACTAGACCTGATTTAATATTCATTCTAAGTTGATAAAGGCCAGTAAACACAGAGTAATGCTTTTAATTTTTATTTATTTATGCATCTAATTAACTTTAATTCACATACCCTTTCTCCCTGTAGGTTGTAACTTCTGGTCAGTTTCATCCTGGCTTAATTAAATACAAGTATTTCCTAAAATAAATACAATTCTGGCAAGCCCACCGTAGTATGTGGTAGGATAAAGCAGACTGCTGAAGAATTAGACGTTTTTATAGAAGATTGAAATATTATATATACAATAAATATAATATTTTAACATACCTATTCTGTTGTTCACTTGGGAGTTCAAGGGAGAGATGATTATGTCTGGTTTTTACGCTGACCTATGGAATATGTATGCATATGTTTATTTATGCTCATCTTTGGTATGTGAGAGAGCTGAATGCAGTCATGCTGATCTTATGACTGCTTATCTTATGTATCACTAGTCACAAGATAACCCAGGGGGTCTCTGAGTAAGTATCTACTTGGATAACATGAAGCATGTTCCTGATGCGCTGTGAAATTTAGCCTGTCATCTCTTTGGTACAGACTTTATTTATGGAACAAAGAGTCAATGTTCTTGTTTTTTTCCTTCAATGTTCACAGTTAGCCCCATTTCATCTGATATAGTTTCGGAATTCGTGGTAAAGGAGCAAGTACGTGAAATGAATAAAGAAATTGCTGAGAAAACAGAAAAGTATAAGAAATGCAAGCAAATGTTGGCAGTAAGTAAATGACTGCTTCAGAAAATAGCTGTAAGCACTAAATCTTAGAAAGACGAAATCTACCCAACTGAGTTGCCTTCCTGCTTATTTGTGTAATACACCATGGTTAGGATAGGAATTTTAACTTTAAAAGACATTTTTATGCAGTCAGCTCACCGTTACCTGAGAGAGGGACTCTTCAGGATAACCCAGATACAAGAAAAACGATAACTGCTACTGCTTCTGTGCTTAATTCAAAGCCTTATTTATTATTTATTTTATATATCTTTAACTATAATTGTTTCAGTAGATCGAACACAGCATGTTGCTATGAGCCAGCTGATGTCTTGGACAAGTATAGCAGTGTTTATTTGGTATGATGTTCAAGTGTAATAATTCCCTACAAATTTGACTGTCTTGGGATTGTAAAGTGTTTAGACATCCAAGTTGGTAGGGCTTACTAGCTCAGGCTCAGTGGTACACACTGAGTGGTACATACGTTTATATTGTTTCTGGGCCGGAGTTGGCTCCCGTAGTTGTATAGCCACGATAGCATTGCTCCTGAGCTGTTCATACCTGCCAATCCTAACTCGATCTTCATGCAACTAGCTTGGATGTATGTATAATGATGGAGGTTTTTTGTCAATGATGGTACTGAAAAGTTGGCTGTTGTAGAATTGTTTAAGTGCTTTTTGGGCCTTGGGTTATCTCTGTTCATTTGTTTGCCTGTTGTTTGGTTATTAAAAAAAAATAATATTATGAAGTCAAAACACTTAGAATTAGAATTGAAAACTTTTTTTTTTTGGCTGCCTTGATTTGTTTTGACCTCAAATAATCAAAGTATATTCAGAAACTGTCATGAAACTGCCAAGTTTCCGTTACTTATCATAAGGGAATTATTCTATTTGAACGTCCTTTCCAGGATGTAACGACTGCCATGCAATTCTACAAATCTCTATGTAGGTCCTTCATTGTCTTCTGATGGCTGTGTCTTTAGTAGGCGTACTTTGAGGAAAGCTTTGCCTTTGACCTTCTGGATGAAAGATACTTAGCGTGATTGTAAAAACTGCATGGGGAAAGGTTTTGTGTTGGAGTGAGACACTTAGGATCATCTTGATTGCAGTGTGGTATTAGGGTTGTGTTTACACAGAGAAGCTTGAACAGTAAAACAGTAAAAGAAGAATAGGAGCTTGTTGAAAACTGAAGCAGGGAAAAAATATATATTGAACTCAGTTCTTCAGCGTTCAATAGCCCTGTCCTCTTCAAGGCCTTGTAGTTGGGTGAGGCTTGATTTTTGGGAAAGCCATCTGCAAATTGTCGAATTCTAATAGCATAGAATTACATGGTTGTCACTTTTTTCTCAAATAATGACAGCTCTTACAATTTTAAGAGTTTCATGCCATGTTGTTCATTACTTTAGGATGAGAAGATGAAATGCAGCGTTTATGCTGATGAACTAGCAAAACTGGAGCTGAAGTGGAAAGAACAGGTGAAAATCAATGAGGGTATGAAATTACAGCTAGCAGCAATGGAGGATCAGTATAAAGTAAGTTAGTTTAAAAAATTTTTTTAGATGATGAATCATATCCTATTCTTAACATTGTTGCTTATTTCTAATAGTTCAAATAATAAATGATTTTAATGGGAGAAAACTGAACATATTTTTACCATAAACAGAAAATCTATTTTGCGCTGTAGAAATGACACATTCTTTTAATGCTTAAATACAGTATATGAGTAAGAAAGACATCTGCCAAATGTATTGTCAGAAGGCTGTGAATCTTGTAATATTGTGAATTTAGACAGATATCTAAGTGACATTAATATTATATTGCAAGGAAAAAATGGTAAAGAGTTTAATATCCTGTTGCTTACAGTAACAGGAAGGTTGGTTGGCGTATTTGTCTAAAATCTTCATATTGCATTGAACTGCTGCATTACCAGAGGCATTGGGCATTACCAGAGCTGGTATTACCTAATGCATTTTATCTGAATTTGACAGATACAAGGTGGGTGGTACGATTTTAAAAATACTGAGAGAAGTACTTTAGTTTGGAAGATATCAACTCTCATCTTAGTAGGGAAATGTAACACAAGTGCACCAGGGGTTAAAGCATAACGGGCAGCTTTAGCTCACACAAGGCCTTGTTGTTTGATGTTATGCAATATTAATGCTTATGTTGAAGTGTCTGGCTAGGTAAACAAGGGAAAGAACTATAAGCAGTAAATTTCCATATGGCCAGTTGTTGTGCTTGTTTTCAGCCTCACGGCCATTGTAAGTACAATTGACAGAAAAGAATATTTAGGATAACCCAGCTATGCCCCTTCCTATGAGTAGGGGTTAAATTTAACTGTGACTAAATGAATTCTTGTATTAACCCACTCTCATTTAAAAATAACAGCAGTTTTGCTTTTACAAAATACTGAATTATTCTACAGAATATAATTAGTCTACAGAATGTGGAAAAGTGGATAGGCCACTTGGGAGGAATATAGGGATATTGTCAGAGTGTGGCAGGGATGTGACAAGGAAGGCTAAGGCCCATTTGGAGTTAAATCTGGCAAGGGATGTCAAGGACAACAAGAAGGGCTTCTTCAAATAGATCGATAGCAAAAGGAGGACTAAGGAAAATGTCAGCCTGCCGCTGAATGGGGCGGGTGCCCTGGTGACGAAGGATACAGAGAAGGCAGAGTTATTGAATGCCTTCTTTGCTTCGGTGTTCACTGCTAAGGCCAGTCCTCAGGAATTCCAGACCTTGGAGACAAGAGAGGAAGGCTGGAGAAAGGAAGACTCTCCCTTGGTTGAGGAGGAACAGGTTAGACATCATTTGCGTGAACCTGACACCCACAAATCTGTGGGCCCCGATGGGATGCACCCACAAGTGCTGAGGGAGCTGGCGGATGTTATTGCTAGGCC